ATCTTTGGCAATTGCAAAATCAATTCACTCGCCATGAACACATTAACATCAGCAGCCCGCATCACGCATCAATTGGAACAAGATTAAAAGGCAAGCTGCAACTCGAAGTTTACATAGATGATACCCAGTATTCGCCTGGTTTCATGAACAAAACTCAAAAATACACTTGTATCTATCTATCACTCGCTGACCTTCCTTTTCACCATCGTACCAAGCAAGACTCAATTGATGTGTACATGCTCCTGAATGAAAAAAAGTTTAAATCTCTTCAACTCAAAGATCCATTTTTTGCTATTTTTAATCGTTTAAAAAGCGAAATTGAAGATATTAATTTAAATGGCGGTCTCAATGTTTGCACTTCTAATGGACAAGGGTTTAAGATCAAAGTCACAATTTCTTCTATTCTTGGAGATAACCTTGCAATCTACCCACTCGTTGGCTACTCATCTTGTTTCAACAATAACAGTTTTGTATGTCGGTTCTGTTCAGCCAAAGGCAACTCAGATGAAGAAGGAGAAGATAATATTCAAGAGCTTTTTATAAGACGACGATTGACAAGTTCAAACGAAACTGACCACTTTCATCATTCATTCGTTTTTGACAACTTTGATGGCATCAACAGATGGAACGTGTGTCCGCCTGATATTGTGAGTAAATTCTTAACCTCAATTTTATTCTATTTATGATTGTTTTTATAGATGCATGACATTGCTGAAGGAGTAGTACCGAACATTTTAGAGTTAATTTTGACTACTATCAGTGAAACCTACAAACTTGATCCTTCGGTCAATGGAAGAGGATGGAAATCAGCTTCAAGAACTGTTATTGAAAAAAAGTTTCTTAACTATCACTCGTATTATGAAGGCTCCCCTTGCGTGAAATTTGTCAAAGAAAAGTCGAAATTTAAAGTTTATGGCACTGCACTACAGGTATTACATTTTTAAATAATAATAATAATTTAACACAACTATTTTAGAAACTCGAAACGTTTCTCAAGTTAGAAGCTATTCTTTTTGGCGTTTTGGATGCATCATGGCCCGTTTTCTTGTTGTACAAATTCCTTCGAGAGTTTGTTTTGTTGGCTTTTAAACCAAGTTATGATTTTCACGAAACGAAAAAATTTGAAGCTCTTGCCAATTCGATAATGTCAATTTGCACTACAATCAAACCCAAGTTCAGTGTTTTTTGCAAATTACACCATCTTAGCCACTATGGCGACTTGACCGAGCTTTTTGGACCACTTTATTTATACTCAACTTTTCGGTAATATAAATTATTTTGCAATATTTTTATATTTACCGTGTCTTTTTCAGTTATGAAAGAATTCACCAGTTTGGGAAAAAAGTAGTCAGAGCTTCAAAAAACTTCAAGAACACTGGTCTAACAATCCATTCTCGACGCCAAAAACAAAGAGCTCATTTTCTTCTTCAAAGCAACTACAAATCACAAAACTTTTACCCTTTAGAAGAAAGAAATCTTCAGCCAATCATACACTCGATTCCTTCAACATGCGAACTACTGCCGTCGTCAAAACACCCTTTTTCAACTAAGAAGTCAATTCTACGAAAACTTGATTCGAGACGCGACATTTATTTCAAAGTGACGTCTTTTTTTGTGGAGAAATCAAGCAAAATTATTTTTTGCGAAGGTGAAGTGCTTCGAAAGAAAACTCAAATGGTCGGTCGTCAACGAGTTTTTGTAAAACGCAACGATACACTTTATCATCTCGAAAACTTTCTTTCGACTAAAAAGTTCATCAAACTCACAGACCTTCACTACGCAAACGATTATTATTTTGTTGTTAACTCAGACATTTTTCTTCTTGACTGGATTATGTAACAATATTTATTAAACTTTGCTTTTTGTTTAAAAACTTTACGCTGCTTAAATTAGTTTTAAAGCATTTGCTGTTTTGTATTTAAATTTCAAATTCAAGCTGGCTTGGTATTTAAATAAAAACAAGTTTTTAAATTTAAAAGTCAAATACGTCTGACTTTCTAAAAACAAAAATTTTTAAGTCCAAAAACAAGTCAAGTATATTTGAACAATTTTGGTCAAGTCAAATATATTTGACTTTCTAGAAATCAATCTTGCAATTCAAATAGATTTGACCACAAATCAAATCTATTTGAACGCCCGATCAAGTATATTTGACATTTTAATTCGAATTTGAAAAAGTCAAATCTTGTTGACTGAAGTCAAATATATTTGATTTTATTAGCTATTGTCAAGTCTATTTGACCCATATTTCTGTGTGTGAGTTTAATATTAGCCTTCTCTTGTTAACAGAATCGTTTGTAAAACTAACCATCTTTGTACTCCACTGAGACAATTTGCGGTGAGTCTGGAATGCGTCCGATTTTAATCTCAAATGTGTTTTTAGCTTCACCTGTAAGATAAAATTGAGTTAAAAAATTGAGCTTCTTTGCGACAACAAACAATAAACGTTCACCTTGCTCATTATTTGCTCGACAAGTGTACTTGTTGAGTGGCCTGCCTCGCTGGTTGCCGCGCAGGTGATCAATGGAGTTGAAGGTGAGCGTCAGCGTTGAGTAGTTCTCATTATCGGCAATGTTTACTCGAGTGCCAGCCAGACTGCTGGGCAGACGAGAACCAGGCGTGATGGGCTCATGGCCGACGCCGTAGAACCAGCTAATCTTGGCCACCGGATCAGCCGCAACGATGCAGCTAATGTTGACGGTCAGTGGGCCGCCCTGTTGGATGGCCTCCTCGCTAATCCAGATGTACTTGGGCGTCTTCTCGTCAAACTTGGGCTTGTACTGCACACGCAGCACCACTTTCAGCTCCTTCTCGTCAGAAAGGAAGGCGTTTGTTGTGTCTACCTGGCAGGCGTACTTGCCGTCGTGTTCCTTGCTCACATTTAGTATCTCCAGCTTGGAAACAGTGCGCATCTCGTCATTACGGGCTCCGGCCACCTCATTGCGGATGGCGTAGTTGCGATCGGTAGAGAGATCAATGTCGTTGAAAGTCCAGGAGAAGTCAACCGTCGCTTGGCGGTCAGAGGTGGCAATGCACTCCATCTGAAAGCGACTGCCCTCCGACTTGGTGTAGTGAGTCGTTCCGGTGACCACGGTTGGGTTGAAGACGTGCAGATTAAAGCCAGTTGGACTGTTGCTCCAGGTGTGCTGGGAGGTCTAAGTAAAGCAAAACAATTTTTGTTAACACTAAAAGAGGATGAAAAGAGGCCTACAATTACCTTCTTATTGATGCACTTGTACTGGCCACTGTCCCCCTTGACTGGGTTTTTTAGTTCAAGCTTAACGGTGTTCTTCTTGGCAACGACGTAGATTCGGTTTGCCGGGTCGTTGTTGATCTCCCGGTTGTTTGGATCAATCCATGCGACGTGCTCTGACATAATTGAAATAAATAGTGTTGTTTAAAAAAATTCATTTTATCCTCTTTCACTGTTAATCATTTATCTCCAAACATTGACTCACCGCCGTTGGTTCCTCTGCAGTTAAAATACTTTGACTCCGTTGTCATTATGCCAATGTTGGCATTTGGATTGGGCTCAATGAGAATTTTTGCTGATGCCTGGCCGCTGATGAAGCTGAGGAGGACGGCTGCCAGCAGACCCGGCAGGGCTGCTGAGTAAGACCGAAGGGAAAGCATTGTGCCGAGGACGTTATGTCACCAAAAGAGGAGGAAATGTCAACGGAAAATGACGAATCGGAGATTTGTTCCAAGTGAAAGGATTCGATAGACTGTGAGGGGAAAGAAGGAGAGAAGGATAGATCAGTCATCAGATTTGCACGGTAGTTGACATTGGCTGCTGCTGTCAAGGCTGACTGACAAAGCAGGAACAGTAGTTCTCGCGACAACAGCACTACTTCGTTTTGATTAGCTTTTTTGGTAGCCATTTAAACGTGTAGAATCCTCACACTACGCTGCAAATTTCACGGACCGTTAAATTTTAATTTACGCATATTTGCGTTTTGCATTATTCACAACGCTCCATCAAAATAGTCACAAGCTTAGGATCGTTTGGATACCGTCCGCTCTAAATTATTTACCGACCCAAAAACAGACCCTGGCTGACAATGTTGTGAAAAAGTACCGAGTGGTAATGTAGTGACAATTGACTCTCAATTGGCCCAGTGGCAACGTCCTCCCCCGTCTTGTCCTCTGATGCCGCTCTGCTGTTCGACAGATTGTCAAGTGGACCACCACTGGGGACTGACATGGGCCGCACAATAGCAAAAGTGGCCGTTAGCAGCAGTGGATTAGTGTTTGTTGACGCTGTCGCAACATGGTCAATCGATGGTGAATGAGAGCAGGAACAGTAGAACTGCTGGCAGCGGTACTAGACGGTGAGCATTGAGCAGGCTCATTTGCTTCAATTGGATCAAATGCTCTGCACCTCGGCTAATTGAGCAGACCGGGCCGCAGTCAGGCGCACACACACACACACAGTCGAGAAACACAGTCGACCCCTGCAGACCACAGGGACCGAGATGCATTGTAGGGACAATAGGAACATAAGACTGTCTTTCACTGTTTAGTCGATTGCTTTGACAGGCTCACTGAGCATGGCTAAGGCTGAGCCACTGAAAAACCAAACTTCGGCTAATGAATTAATGAGCAGTCTACAGCTTAAACTTGCAGTCCTCTCATTCTCTCGTAAAAGTTGTAGCTTAAATTCAATCCACTATCGAACCACTTACTTATTCATGAATCGGGGGACTTTGAGCTCAGGGTCGATCACATACTGGTGCCAGTTCATGCGGATTTTAACTGCCTTGAAAGCAAGCGAGGATTTGGCATTAGCAGTAGCAGTAGTTGAAAAGAAGATTGGGACATTCTCGTTGCTGTCCTGCTCATCTGGTAGAAGCCACTAACCACCGGACGCTGACGCTGTCTGTCTCGCCGGCATTGACTTCCTTCCGAAGCTTAGAAGCGTTCTATTTGTGCTGCTCTGACTCTAATTGCACTAACCCGAGCCTACTTTTTGTAGTTTGTTTTTTCAATTACGCTCAGCTAATTTTCAGCACGTCAGAAACAGACACACACAGGCAGCGAGTACCCCTGGCGAACATCGCGTGTGTGTTGCTGATCTAAGAGATCTAATCGAAATTAAATTAGAGCACACACACACCGACAGCACCAGCAGACAACATTGCAAAATGGAGGAAAAATAAGTGCAGAGCCGAGCAAATTGATTCACCAAAGGTCGTGTTTGCCTGCTCCCGAAATGGCACTGCATGGTGCATCAGCCACCACCAGTCTTGTAGTATTAGATGTAGTAGGGTACTGCACTTGCCACTGGAGAACTACCTACCCCTGTCTGCATGCACCTCCTAATCCCAAATCCCATCTGGACAAATTATCAGCCAGAACTACTAAGAACGGCGCATTAGCTTCCATGTTCAGTGGCCATTGCCAAGTTGTCATTGCCTGAGTGAAAAAGAGCCCCTTCAATTTGCCCTTTGAGCCAGTGAGTGAGTGATTCGATGAGTCACGAGGAGTCTCAGACAACCAATGTCAAGTGGTGCGGCCCCAGCAGACACAGTGACCGGGTAATTTATGGACCCTAGCTGTGCGGAGCAGTAGTGCTCCCTTACTGCCGGTCTGGCACACTGACTGCATCGTGTTCTGTCACTCATCCAGTCAGTATCTGTTTACCTTGTGGCCCCACGTAGGCACTGCAAGCCTACACCAGTCACGTGACCAGCGTCTGTCTATCGTCCAGTTGGGTTGCCTTCAGCTGGTATACACACAGTGTGTCTGTCCTGTGTGTCTCTATGACTACACTTAGATGTACTTATATTCTCACTTGCCGGTTTCAAATAAACGCTGAAACTAGCTCCCCTCTATCCCATCAGTGGCCTACCTGACAGACAATCTGACTTTTGTTCTGTCTCCTTTTTTTCTTCTCTCTCAACGACCTACGCCCAAATGCGTGTTGGGCTTTTCATATTCCTCATTCTGTTTGACTCATTCTCTGTCATTGATTAGTGCTAACTAAGCTTCTACTGTCGCTACTCTTATCTTTCTCTCAGGTAAATTACATATCGTTACATTTCTCTTTTTTCCCTCACTGCCTGACAGCTTGGTAATGACCTTTGCATAGTAAAGGTCAACTGCAAAAAATTTATGAGCTCAGTAGCGTCCGAAGTTGAAGTTGGTGCAATGAGTCAGGGCCGCTCTTTAGGAGTCTTTTGGGAAATTTATGAAATGACTTTTTATGTTTGCCTGTAAGCTTGGTAGTTCACCAAAAAAAATAGAAACCGGGCAAATTTTCTATGCCATAAAACTAGGCAACATCTAAAAGCGGTACTTTGTTATTGCGACCGACACTGACCACCTCATTTGCTGCAAGTCTCTGGAAACGACCAGATAACGAGAATCCGGTTGGTGCCTCCTAACTCCAGCACAAATCTCACGCTCTGCCGGTCATCCCACTATCTACCGTGCACGTTGTTGCTCTCATTACCTGCGAATGCTCTCTTTTGGGTTCCCACAGCATCGTTTTCCACAATGCACAGTTCAACTGTACTCTGTGGGCCGCAATTAATTGTCTGTTTACGTGACTGCCTGATGCTGCGATACTGCCTTCAGTGGAAGCATTTGGGAGCTCGTTACCTTTTTTGTTCCTCTTTCGACCCCCTCGTCAGTGATGATGCTCTGGTTGTAGTGTACATTCGCCTGCTGTCAACTGCTGCTGCCGCCAATGCAGTAGCCAACCATTGCGCAGTAGCGTTGAACTCGCACAGTTTGTGCTGGCTAACTTGTCTGTGATCTTGACCTATTTTTTCTGGTGTGCTTCTTCTCTAAAGCCCAGTAGAACCCCCAATGCTCACTAGGCACATACATGCACACTCACACTTTCTTTTACACTGGTTGTGCATTGGCACACACACTTGGTCCTGGCATGCCCAGAAACCTATTCCAGTGAGCACAACTCAATCTAGCACTTTTGCCTCACAAGTGTGGCGCCAAAACTTGGCAGCCACCTTCTATATAGAATCTGACCTGAAGCATGCCGCTTTCTAGTTAGTTTTACTAAAATAAATTTTGACACTCAATCGAACTCTCAAAACAGAAACGGCAAAAACCTAAATTTAGACTGTTTCTATGTGACGGCGTGTCCGAAACAGATCTTACCGGTTCTTTTAATAAAATTATAAATTAAAATATATTTCACACCAAAAATGTCTGCAGTTTATTTATCAAAAGTACTAAAACAATATTAGTGTTATTATTATATATAACTTTGTTCTAGAAATCTGAAAATGGTTTGGCTCGGCTTTGAAACTAGAGCCTATTTGACTGCACACAAGAGCATACTATACAAAGACTGCTGCGTCTAAGCGCTCCTGGAATCCTTGACATAAATTTTTACACTCCTGTTCGTTTGTGCTGAGAGAAAAATGGGATTCCAACAAAGTGATGCGGTTGCTGTGATTTGCCAGAAAAGTGAAGGAGGGTCTGTAACTCAAGTCGCCAAACAAAAGTACAAAAGTTCAAGGTTTCAAGTGATCCAAAAGAAGAAAATTCTGGCTAAAGCATTTCATTCACTAAACCTTGAAGTACAAAATTGACAAGCAATTTACTTTTCATTCCTAGATCAGAACTACCAAATTGCCAATCGCTGTCATTTGAAGAGGGCAAACACTTATTCAGAAAAAAAATTTGATATTTCTACAGTTGCCCCTTTCACACATTTGAGCCACTTAGCTCTACTTGTCAATAAGAAAAAATATCAATTAAAAAAATGTTTTATTTTTTAATTTTTTTTGCAAAAATAAATTAGTATTTCTAATAAAAATATTTTAAAATAAAAAAATATATTTTTTATCAAAAACATTAATTGGGCGTCAACAATATATCAAGCAAAAAAGTTCCTTACAAATGTAGGCTCAAATGGCAAACTGCACTTAGTAAATTGAGCAAGTAAGTGCTGGAAATCAAAAAGCAGACACCACTGAATCTCACCAGTATATGAGATTAAAAGCACGAAACAAAACGCCACTTCTTGAACTGCTGCCTCGATTCTTAAGTTTCCTCACACCACATGGCTAATAAATTAGCAAATTAAAACCTCAAATAAAGCAAAGCTCGCTTTTTTCCTTTTTCATGAACAGTTGGTTTCTTCGAGTTGACGCGTAAAATGTAGAGCACACAACGCAGCAGGAGACAAACACGCACACAGAGACAACACTCTTCAAAACAGTTGACAGACAGTTTTTATGAAGCTTTAAACTCAGTCGGTTCAGTTTTGTCGTTTTCTTGTAGTATCGTTTAGTTAATTCACTGACATGCACTCCCCCACCCGTTAGCAGTGTTCAGCTACTGGTAATTAATTAGAATATTCAAACACACAAAAGTGAAGCAAGGAAGTTCACTGAGCATTTA